GAAGCAGGAGTAACTCCTGTTCATCGCCGGGTGTGACCCAAAAGCAAAAAAGAAAATATCATTCATTGATCTCACTCATGCATGGGACCTAAAGATATACAATGAGGTAACAACAAAAGGCCAAAGGCAACACAATGAAGAACTGAAGAACTGATCCAGACAATTAAGTTGGGGGGGGGGGGGTGGAGCTAGTTGAAAGGAAGTCCTTGGGGGAAGGAGTTGGGGTATACTGGAGATGGGTGTTGGAATTATGTGCATCACCACCAGTAACAATATTGTAAACCACAGAACTTCAACCAATAGAAATATTTTTGTTGTTATTTTGGCACCATAGCCAGTAGTGTTCAGGGATCACTCCTGGATGGGCTCAGGGAACCATACGGGATTCCGAGGACTAAGCCTGGATTGGCCGCTATTGCTCCAGCCCATAAAAATATATTTAATCATTTAAAAACATACTAGAAAATTTCAGGGAGTAATGATTCATACTTTTTTGTTTGTATAATGGGGCTAGAGATGTGGCTTAAATCAGGGAGCATGTGACTTACATGTGCAAATCCTTGGAGTCAGTCCCAGCATGGCATGGCTTCTTTGATGATGTGTTTATTCACATCGTATGCCTATGTTTTTTAACTGGTTTACTTGCTTTTTGTTGTTGATTTGCGTAAGTTCTCCATATTTTTTGGATGTCAGACCCCTGTATAAAGTCTGATGTGCAAAAAGCTTCCTTCCAATTGTTTGGTTGAATTTTTTGGCTTTTGTGGTAGTTGCTTTCATTATATGAAAACTTTTTAATTCTATGTAATACAATTTGGGTTTTGAGTTTTTTGGTTTTTGTTTTATTGCTGCTGAATTCTTTGGCTGTGGAGTAATTGAGTCTCCAAATACATCTCTGAACTTGAAACCTTGGAACCTATCATCTGTGTTTCCTTCTATGTATGATTTTTGACTAATAGGTAAATCTTTTGTGGATATTTTGGTCTTGAGGGTTACTTCTGGCTTGGTGCTCTGGGGGAACTCCCTGTCTTCAGATCATAAAGCATTGAAAAAATGTTGAACTCAGGGACTCCCTCATGCAAATAACATGGTTCAGTCATTTGGGTAATCCATTTTGAGTTATTTTTTGTGATGGTGACACATTTTTCTGACACCTTTTTTAAGTCAACAGGATTACAAAATTGCATTCAAAGATCATGGAATTAACAGTCTCCGTATACTGAGCACTGGTCAAACCACACATGAAGCAGTATATCCACTTCCCAAGTGCCACATTTTAAAGTGAACATTTGCAAACTCTAGTATATCTAGATAAGGTCAAAAATTCACTGAGAGGCAGGGAAATAACTCAATGGTTGAAGCACAAGATTTACATGCAGAGGCCTGGATTAGATCCCTATGACAACATGGTCTCACGAGTTCATTAGGAATGGCCCCCAAACACTGAGATAGGAGTAGACCATGAGCACCGCTAGTGTGGACTAAAAACAAATAAAAAATAGCCATTAAATGTCTCATGATGGCTTTCATATTCTTCTTCTTTTTTTCAATTTTTATTAGTGAGACACCATAAGGTACAGTTGTAGACGTATAAATTTTGTGCTTGGGTTTCAATTATAAAACAACATAAGTCTCCAATGGAGACATTACTGGGCCCGCTCGAGCAAATCGATGATCAACGGGAGGGCCTTTACTTTTACTTTACTTTTATCCTGATACATAAGAACTCTTATAATTCAGCAATAAAAGTTAAACATTTTAGGGGCTGGAGACTGTTACTGTGTCTGGCATATCGAATACTCTAGGTAGCTTGCCGGGCTCTCCGAGAGGGGCGGAGGAATCGAACTCGGGTCGGCCATGTTGGCCGCGTGTAAGGCAATTATACAATAATCAAATACCCATCCGTCCACCAGTGCCCATTTTAACCACCTGTTTGCTAGACTAAATACGTTCAAGTAGAAATTTCCTTGTTGCCTTTTTTGTTTTGTTTGAGAGCCACACCTAGCAATGCTCACGGACTACAATTGTTATAAAAAACATGTGACTCAGTGCTCAGGGGTCATTGTATGTGGCGCTTGGGAGAAGACACACTGCCAGGGATGGAACTTAGGCCTTCCACATGTAAAGTACGTGCTCCATCCAACTGAGCCATCTCCCTGACCCAGAGGAACTATTTTTGTTCCTTATGGTAAGAGTGAGATTAATGCTTAGACAGTAAAAAGAGGAGATTGTGATTGTATTCTGTCTCAGCAGTTTTTCATTTATCCAGTGATGAAATTTGAACTTACCTAGTGTATTCAAGTGGAGGCAGATGGGCACTTACCTGAGAAGGGAGTCAGAAAGACCACAGTGAGAAAGGTAGAAGATGGAAAAACAATTGAGTTGTTGTGGGTCACAGATCATCAAGTTGATTTGTAGACACTCTAAGAGACTGTTTCCTCCTTTAAAAAGTAGAATTTGGCTAGAGTAGAAGGTGCTCCTTGACTCTTGCTATTGGGGAAGAGTGAGTCAGAGAATCTAAAAATAGAACAACAGGCTGAATGGCTCCAAATAATCAAAATCCTAAGAGGAGGAAGGCGTGAAGGTGGCATGATAAAGCAAATACCCTTCCAGGAAACAATTTTACTGGCCTTATGGAATTGGATGAAGTACTCTGCAAAGGACCGTTCCAAGGGTTGCCTTAAATTAATGCTTTCTGCTTTGTAAGGAAGAAGCACAGGTTTGGCTCCCAGCACACACAGTTCCTGAAGCATCGTTTGGTATGGATTCAAAATCAAAACAAGCCCAAAAAATTAATGCTTGGTATTATTTTATATATGTGAAAAAATGTTGTTTGGGGACAATACTCAGCTGTGTTCAGGCTTATACCTAACTTTGCTCTCAGGGATCACTCCTGGCAGACTCAGGGGACCATATGGGGTGCTGGGGATCAAACCCTATTCAGCTGCATGCAAGGCGAGTGCCTTACCTGCTGTACTTTCGTTATTATTTTTTTAATTTTTATTAGTGAAACATCATGAGGTACAGTTGTAGACTTACAAATTTTTGTGCTTGGGTTTCAGTTATATAATGATCAAGTGCCCATCCCTCTACCAGTGCCCATTTTCCACCACCACTGGTCCCAGTATCCCTCCCACCCCCCATTCCCCCCCATCCCATCCTGCCTCTGTGGCAGGGCATTCTCTTTTGTTCTCTCTCTCCTTTTGGGTGTTGTGGTTTGCAAAAGAGGCATTGAGTGGCAATCATGTTTGGTCTATAGTCTACTTTCATCATGCTTCTACCATCCTGGGAGGGTCCTCCCAACACCCTTTATTTGTTGCTCCCTTCTCTTGTACTATCTTTCTGCTCCCAGAAATAAAGACTGAACTCTTTAAAAAAATAACCAAGGTGTTTTCTGCTCCGGATGAAAGCAGTAGATCTGTAAAAGAAAATTAGTAAGGACTAGGGAAGTGGTGTTACAAATCTTACCTTTTAAGACTTTACCTCTTGGTAGAGAGAGCTGAGAACTCAGGCTGTTGAGGCCTGAGACTCCATAGCCAGAGATCTGGCTTGTCCCAAGAGAAACTCATGACAGAGGTTGCTTAGAGAACAGAATGGTAGAAGATGATTATGTTTCTTTAAAATCTGTATAACAAAGAGCAGCCAAGCATCAGGAAAAACAGCAGGAAAGGGGCTGGAGTGATAGCACAGTGGATAGGGCTTTTGCCTTGGATGCTGCCGACTCAGGTTCAATTTCCAGCAACCCATATGGTGACCCAGGCACCGCCAGGAGTAATTCCTGAGTGCATAAGCCAGAAGTAAACCCTGTGTATCACTGAGTGTGACCCAAAAAAGGGGAAAAAAGCAGAAAAGCATAAAGTACAGATGGTGACCTGAATCATATAGTAGAAAAAAATAACAGGTGATTTTGTTTGCTTTGGCTCAGAGGTTACACTTGCCAATGCTCGGGTACTACATCTGGTGCAGTGCTCATGAGTTGCCTCCAGTGCACAGGAGATCGTGTGGTGCCAGAGATCAAACTCAGGCCTCCTGTGTGAAAAGCATGCAAGCTAGTCCTTTGAGATAGCTCTCCAGTCTTATACGTGATTTGGAGAATGTAGGATCTAGTTCCAAATAAACCAAGAAGGAGGTCTTCAACTCTGTTTAAATGTCTTAGTACAGCAAATAGGGTGTTTGCCTTGCATGGAGCTGACCCAGGTTTGATCTCTGACATCCCTTATGGCACTCTGAGCATTGCAAGGAGTAATTCTTGAGTGAAGAGCCAGGAATATCCCCTGAGCACTATAGGGTGTACCGCCCAAACCAAAATAAATAAATAAAATAAATGTCTCTCTTGATCATTTTCTCTTACAATACATTGTTATTCAGAGTGCTTCCCATAATAGAAGCAGTACCCCCTTGGAACTTGTTAGAAGTGTCTACTCTCAGATCCCACCTTACATCTGATACATAATAATGTCGTTTTAATAAGCAGTGGCCATTTATATGCACAGTGCATTTTAAGAAGCACTGATCTACCTAGCTTCCTTTCTGAACTCCCTAGAAGCCCCAACGACCTCATTCAGTTCATCCTCCTTGACTCCAGTCTCAGACAGCAGTTAAGTTAAAGCATTTCTTATTCCATTGGGTTGACTTCCTTAAGTTTTTACTGAATTACAAAGATATTTTTACTTTTTTTTTACTTTTAGGACACACCCAGTGATGCTCAGGGCTTACACCTGGCTCTATACTCAGGAATCACTCCTGGCAGTTCTTGGAGTATCATATGGGATTCCAGGTATCAAACTTGGGTGGGTCACATGTAAGATCAGTGTCCTGTCTGCTGTGCCATCTCTCCCACCCCCACCTGGATTTTCTACATTTTAATTGCAAGTGTCCCACATTTCTAAGTACATTCACTGTCACTGTCACTGTCATCCCATTAATTATTGATTACTCGAGCAGGCGCCAGTAGCATCTCCATTTGTCCCAGCCCTGAGTTTTTAGCATCGTAAACTTTATGCTCACTCTCTGCGGATGCGGCACACCAGCTGGATGTCCTTGGGCATAATGGTGATGTGTTTGGCGGGGAATGCGCAGAGGTTGGTGTCCTCAAAGAGCACCACCAAGTAGGCCTCGCATGCCTCCTGCAGTGCCATAACGGCTGAGCTCTGGGAGCGCAGGTTGGTCTTGAAGTCCTGTGAGATCTTGAGCACCAGCTGCTGGAACAGCAGTAGTGCCACGGTGTCAGGATGGTAGCGGCGCGGCTTCTTCACGCCACCATGCCTGGCATGCTCTTTGCGGGCCACCTTGGTGGCCAGCTGCTTGCGGGGTGCCTTCCCGCCCATTGTGCTTAAATCTTTAAGTACATTAAAGATTCAATATATGTTTTGTGGGTGGCCAGAAAGATAGTATAGGCTTAAGATTTTCCTTAAATGAGGTCAACTATAGTTTGTTCCTCATCTTAGCACCTTGGGGAGCAACCCTCAAGCACCAAACCAGGAGTAGATCCCCACACTGCTGGGTATGTCACCAAACTCAAAATATAAGCACATATGATAAAACATATTTGTATACGAATAATGTATGTGTTATATAAGTGTCTGATAAGTATATATACCATGGAATGGCCCCAAAACATAACTATATATTTTTGTTGTCAGACACCCAGTGGTGCTCAGGGGCTACTTCTGGCTCAGTAATTAGAGGTCACTCTTGGCAGTGCTCCAGGGACCATGCGGTGTCAAAGATACAACCTTGATTTCCTACATGCAAAGCATTACATTACATTGCATCACCATTAATAACATTTTTCTTCTATGTAAAACTGCACACTATTGACTTCAAACTGAATTTTGAAATCTCACTCAGCCTGTGTACAAGTTGGAGGCTGATTATATGTCAACATATGGAGGAGGGATGACAAAGAGTTCGATCAACCAAGTTCAGAAATTCAGAGGTGACTGTAAGGTAAATGAAAATTCCATAAGGAGTGGGAAATAGGACAAATAGATCAATCTAAGTGCCCTCTATCAAGACCTAGAAAGTTAATACAATAAGGGCGACACACATCTAGAAGATATTAAAACAAAACTAAACACAAAACTACCACCACCACAATCCACTTTTCTACTATATTAAGTCAGGGTCCCTTAATCAGCAGCTTAGGATCTACAAACAATGTGAAAGTCCTATAAACTATCTTTCCAAGATGGTTGCCCTCCTCTCATCCTACTTTCTATAATTTTCTGATAAGATAGAAAACTGTCTCCCCAGTCCCTTGCCCCCACACTCTTATAGCCAATCTCCAGGATCTTTTCTTTCTGGATTTTACCTTCTTTAAGATGCCTTTAGAAAGTATAGTGAAGATTTTTCTTACAAAGAAGAGGATGTCTATATGAAAACTGGGTCCCTTGATCAAGGATAGAGAGACAGTTACAAAGAACTGTAAAAATGCAAAGGACTTTTGTGCTTTCTCAATGAAGTCTTCAGCAATAAAATGGATTATAGTCCAGAGACTCTGAATTAGCTAGGGGAGCAAGTAAGCAGTGTCTGATACCTAATACTGTAAACACTTGAGCTGCATAGCTAGGGAAATTGTGGGAGTGGCATTAGGGGCAGTGATGACTGTCTACTGCTAGTGGAAAGGGAATTTTTCTAGCTCCTGTAGGATTCTCACAGGAGACGCCTTGTTGGCTACACAAAGTCTAGTCTATACGTCTGCTCTCCCGAGAATTCTACAGGAGTTGCAGAACAATGTACTCCAGGAATATAGGGAAAGCTTTTGATCAATGATGTTCATGTTAGCAACACAGGGGTATAATGATCAGAAATCCAAAGATGATCTCTTTATTCCATACCATATTTCATTGTGTAATCCTCCCACCCCTTGTTTATTTTTTTTTCTTTTTAGCAATATTAAATACTGGGGGTTTTTTGTTTGTTTTGTTTTATTTGCTTTTTGGGTCATACCCAGCGATGCTCAGGGGTTACTCCTGGATTTGCATGCAGGAATTACCCCTGGCGGTGCTTGAGGGACCATATGGGATGCCGGGGATTGAACCCACGTCGGCCGCATGCAAGTCAAATGCCCTACCCGCTGTACTATTGCTCCTGGCCCTGAAACACTGTTTTAAAAAGTTTCACATAATGGTTACAGCCCACCTTTCCCCACCAAAATATATTTGGTATAAAATCTGGAATGATGGGAGTCGGAGAGCTAGAGCTGGTACAAGGTTTAAACCACTTGCCTTACATGCAGATGACCCCAGTTCAACTCCTCAGCACTGTATGTGGCCCTCTGGGTAGTGTTGAGAGTGATCACTGAAATCAGAGCCACGAGTAATCCTGAGCACAATTGGCTGTGGCCTAAAAACCAAAAAAATTAATGATTATGCAATAAAATATAGTATGAAATACTTTATAAGGCAGCCAGGGTTCTGCTGCACTTCTTCTATTGCCAGAATTTGCTACATGCTTTTAGAGAGTACAAGCTGAGCAGTCCACACTGCTGTAGATGTGGTAGTAGTATTTGTTATATTTTTTCCATTTTTTATAATTTTATTTATTGAATCACGGTGAGAACAGCTACAAAGCTTTTGGGTCTAAGTCTCGGTCATACAATGAAACACCCATACCTTCACTAGTGCCCATTCTCCACGCCCCCAAACCTCAGTATACCTACCCCCATCCCTCATCCTTCCCCTACCTATGGGTGGTAGTAGTATTTGGGCCAGAAGTTTTTATTTTGTGAGGAGAAAAATTTCCTGCTAGGAGCAGACTTGGAGGCACGATCTATGAAGTAAAACTATAGGAAAATCTATGGAGTAGAACAACTCAGTAATCAGAGACACAATATTCCATTTCGGTTCAGTAGAACCTTAAAAATAAACCTATCATCACAATACTATCAAATACTACCATTTACTGTGTATTTATCTGCTGGGCACTAAGTACTTAACATGCATGATCTCATTTATTACTCGTAACACGAACTGCCATTCAAATTCATTTGAAAATGTTAGGTAATAGGGCCTGAGAGATAGCTCAGAGGACTAATGGGCGTGCTTTGCACATGGGAGGTTTGGGTTCAATCACCTGCACTGCATGATTCCCCGAACACTGTCACCTACAATCACTTTGGAGGTCCCTCCTGTCCCCCTCAAAGAAAACACCAAAAAAAAAAAAAGGGTCAGAGAGAGAGCGCGCTCAATGTATTGGAGCATATTCTTTATATGTAAGAGGGCTGGGTCCAATCTCATGAGAACACTGGGAGTGACCCCTAAGCATCAAACAGGAGGTAGTCCGGAGTACTGTCAGGGATAGCCCAAAAAACAAAAAAGAGAAGGGGAGGGGGACAAAAAGGAAAGAAAAGAAAATGTCAGATAATGACATATTTTGTCGTTGTTTTGAAACCACACACCCAGTGCTGCTCAGGGCCCAGTTCTGGCTCTGCACTCAGAATGATGCTGCCTGGGGATCAATTGGAGTGCTGAAGTGCTGCGGATTGAACACAGGTCAGCTGTATAGAAGTCAATTTCCCTGCCCACTATGCTATCTCTCTGGCTCCGGAAAATATCTCTACCATTGGACGAGGGATGTGGCTCAGTGGAAAGTATATAACTCACATGTGTAAGACTCGGGTTTGATACCCAGAACAATAACAATAACAATAATAATAAGGATAAGAACAATAATAATCTCTATTATTTATTGATCTTTTACTATGTGCTAGACACTAAGTGCTTAATATCAAATATTTCATTTATTCCTACTAGAGAGTAGAAAATGATCTTTGCTTCCTAGTTCATTCTTTTTGGTTCTGTTCAGGCAGCAACAACTACTCCAGGAAGCCCTCCTTGACACTTCAACTCAGAGATAAGTATGATTACTCTATGTTCCACCCACCACCAAGATGTATTTCCTGCACAACTTTTGTTGTTGTTGTTCCTGCTGCTTTTATTGGTTTTCTTTGGGATAGGCCATATCTGGTAGTGCTGGGGTTGCCCACTCTCAGTTCTCTGCACAAAGGTTGATCCTGGCAGTGCTCAAGAGAACATGCTGTTATGGAAGAATCCAGCCTCCCCAATGCAAAGCATGTGCTCAATCCTTTGAGCTATCTCCCTAGTTCTCTAATACATTTTTTTGGTTTTGGAGTCACACCCAGCAGTGCTTGGAACTTAATCCTGGATCTGCACTCAGGGGTCACTACTGAAAATGCTCAGGGAACCATATGTTGCATCAGAGATCGAACTTTGGTTTAGTGTGTGCTAGGTAAGCTCCTTACCTGCTATAAAGTCTCTCCAGCCCTTTTACTACAAGTTTTAACACACATATGCACATACATGTACACACAGGAACACATGCAAACACCAGACAATGAGGCCAGAAGAAAACATGTAGATATTAGATCAATGATACTTGCAAGCAATACATACCTCCATGAAACAGTTCTAAAAAGAGAATAGTTGAAGGTCTGGAGGGAGATCTCAAAGTTCTGAGCACATGCTTTGCATGCTGAAGGCCCCGTTGATCCCCAGCAATTCATCACCCCCTGAGCACCATGAGGAGTGAGTCCCTGAGCAGAGAGCTAGAAATGAATGGCCCTGAGCACTTTTAGGTCTGGCCCAAATACCAAAGCCCCCTCCCCCAAAAAGAGAGAGCAGAAGAGACAAAGTTGCATAATTAGGGATGAATTTTTTTTTTGCACTCTATATTCACTTTGTATTCTTGTGGAATTGTTTAAAGTATCTGGTATAGTGATAGCACAGCGGGTAGGGCGTTTGACTTACATGCAGCTGACCCGAGTTCGATTCTTCCGTCCCTCTCAGAGAGCCTGGCAAGCTACCGAGAGTATCTCGCCCACACAGCAGAGCCTGGCAAGCTCCCCGTGGTGTATTCGATATGCCAAAAACAGTAACTAGAAGTCTCATGATGGAGACATTATTGGTACCCGCTCGAGCAAATCGATGAACAATGGGAGGAGAGGCTACAGTCACTATACTTATGGTCACGTCTATTCATTTTAACTGTTTATTCAATCGCTGTGAGATAGACTCTTATGAAACTGTTCATGATTGGGTCTCAGTCATACAGTATTCCAAGACCAATCCCTCCACCAGTGGGGTGCGGGGTGACTCTTAAGGGTCCTTCAAGCTACTTTGTGCCATTGATTTTTAAAAATCATCTCTTAAAATAAACGTCTTTATTTTCTGTAAAAAGCATACTAATTCTTGGCAAGTAATAAGACTAAAAATATCTAAGATGAAAAACATAGCTTACCTGATCACTTGACTTGCATGTAAAAACCATACATGGTTCAATCCCCAGCACCACATACACACACACA